GAGCCCATTCGTGCTCATTCACGATCGTTTTACAGGATGATCAAAAATTTAGCGCGTCCGTTAGCGCGAAATTAACTTACTCACTTTCGTTCCTCGGAAACGCGTTTGGCCTGTAATGTTAATGGCGTAGTTACAAATGGTACGCTTACCGGTAAAATCGTTGTAAATTGATATATGTTATTGCATCTTCTGACGACATTGAAAGATAAATATCTCATGGCATGAATAATTTGATTTCTTTGGCCAGCTTTCAAATAGCTGAAAACGTCGGAAACTACGCTTCTCGCGTTTAAATATAGAGCCATAATAAAGTCATTTAGAACCGACGAAAAGTATTATGTACCGAGAGAGGCTTTCCCTGTTTGCTGCTTATGTGATGAATGTATTTGCTATTCATAAGATACCCTGAATACGAAATTCTTTCCTTAGTAATATTTCTTAAGTCAGAAATTTTGTAAAATGATTATACTTAACAATGAGATATAATGCCTTTTAATGCCTTTTATTTCTTAATAATTTATTTGCATTTATTTGCTTTTAAAATATTCGTAAAATGAAATTTTAAAAGTGATAGAGAAAATTACAATTTCTTTTTTAGAAGAATTAACTGTACATTGTTTTTGTTGTACAAAAAGATTCTGCATTTGGTATGCAACTTCTTTTTGGCACATCTTCTATAGAGTTGCCGTTAATCTTTTTCAGAATTGGTTTTCGGCCAACGCTAATTTGTATGTAGGAAAGCGGGCAATTTCTCGATCGATTTCTCGTCGTAAGAGTAAGCCGTGCAACCGGAAGTTCATTACCTTGGTGTACTCGCCCTCCGTTGCGGACAATGCTCTCGGTACACGACCCTGGCCGATCGCCAGTTTTTGTCGTGCGTTTTTACCTTTTGGTATTAGGCCAAATTCTCGCGACGCGAGCGTCCATTTACGGTCGCTTTCACCTCGATGCTTTGCAATTAAATATCAGTGGCAACTCGGGACGGAAGCGGAAGAATCTCGGATGGAAAGTTCCGAGCGAAATTTAGAGCTAGAAAATTTAGAACGGATTTTCTCGACAGCTGATATCGCTCTTAGAGACGTAAAATGTTTTTGCAACGAAAAATAAGACACAATTTCTTTTCAATTTTTACCAAGACATAGACCATAGAATCCTATTAATGTAGCAATATAAAATATCTCCACAGTATATTTTTTTAAAAAGAAAACATAAATACGGATTATATTATATTTGCGGAGAATTTTATTATAATCTCTTACATTGTATTACATATCGAAAATATTGTCTTACACAAGAAAAGCTTTCTTTATAAAAAGAATGTAATTGTGATTCTGGGTACAAGCAAAACATAAAGATTGCAAATGCCTTTTAAGTTCCATTTCCAGTTGGGCACAATTGTAATTCTTTAAGTCGGAGAAGCTTATATGCCTTAAGGAAAATCTGTAAAGAGAATCGAAAGAAGCGGCGTCAACGATCAATATAGAACGCAGGACAATAAAGCTCACGACGCATTTCTCACGTCCGGTTTCTGTTTTCCTCTCGGGTTTCAAGAATTGATTTTGTCTCGCAATTCTCTTTGTCGGTTATATAACGCGAAGACTAATGACTGCCAATGAAATCCGCGTTGCACAGAACTAGTTATACAAATCAATAAATATAAAGTTTTTATATATACTATATAGTCATACATTATATTTTATTTTCTTTTGATTGTTTTAAACTTATTTAAATCTTTATTTATAGATATTTATCATATGCTTACTTAAAGATGTATTTATATATATTATTTTATATTTCTGCGACGTTCTCTCCATTTTCAATGAACAAAGATTAAGCGATCGTGTAATCGGATAATTATAACAAATAAAACTTGTGCGCCTGAATTTACTGTATCAAAAACAATGAATATTTCTAAACGTAATAATGCATCGGCATGTGCCACCGATGGAACGTGCCCATATTTTTATTTCGCTTACACTCCTTCATCTCTCCATCTGCATATTACGTTACCGTGCTGATAACGGAATTATGCGAACAAACGATATGGCACTTGTGTCGCCGTCACATATACCGAGTTCTTCTCTTCTTTCATCAGCGTGCCTAATGTCGTTATTTACGCGGTAATCACGACACAATCGCTTTTTATGCGACCGTGAATTCGCTGGGCGAATAAATCTCTTGTATTATTTCACGCGTTGACAGAGTCGCGTTTTGACAAAAAAAAAAAAAAAAAAAAAAAAAAAAAAAAAAAAAATTTGACACAGTGACACGATTGCCACAGTCCCTAAAGGGTGAGAACGTTGGTAACTCTCGGCGCCCTGCCGTGCGTCGCCCTCTTTGTACCCTCGTGTATAGCAAGGGTACGAACGCCTCTTTACACACTGCACTTTCTCTCTTTTTCTCTTGCTTCGCGTCGACGTATCATTAAGCTGTTCACCCTCGTTTTTATTCGAATTGCTCGGAGAAGCCTCACCCTTGCTTCGGGAGTATGCACGTTATAATCGTTTGCGGCCCCCTCATGGCGAACAAAAAAATAATATCGCGCTCGACTGAGCCAAGCCAACATTTTTCTCCATCCGTGTTGCATCCACGTGGCGTAGAGACCCACCTTTCTCATTTTACGCAGGGCCGATCGAGTGACAAAATTGTTAGATAATTGATGTTTTTCTATGCGAAGTATAATTGTCTACATTTTTTTTCATATTTTAATTAATGAATTTGAATTATGATTAAATTAATTATTTACAAACTACGATAAGATGCACTTTATTTTTCTATTCAATGTCAATATAATGTTATGAAGTAACAGACGATATTTTTCATGTAAATGTATATATTAGAATTAAAAATAATTATATATTTAAAATACAGAACTTAACTTATTGCATCATATAAAATATCTAAAATGATGTGTTCTCAATTGTTTTAGGGTGGCGAAGATGCAGAGAACGCAACGGCCGCCACGAGCAGTCCGGAGGAGAAATCAGCAGCGAGCAGTCCATCGGCGGACGAGCAGGTAGCCGCCCCGGTAGCAGCGGCCGAACCGAAGGAAGAGTCCAACACGGCATCGCCAGCAGCAGCTGCTAGCCCGGTCGAGGAAAAGAAAGAAGAACCCACTCCCTCTGCCCCCACTCCCGTCCCGTCCGTCGAGGATAAGAAAGAGGAGACGGTCGAAAAAGTCGAGGCCGAGAAAAAAGTAGTCGAGGTCAGTCAGTCAGCCGGCGGTCAGTCCGTAACGGACCCGATAGAGATCCCAGTCCGTGTCCAGCCAGTCGCGACACCGTCTATCATTGAGAGGAAAACCAGTGAGGACCTTCCCTCCCTGCTCCCGTCCAGTCCACCGCCGACCCCCATAGACCCGTCGCCCTTGCAGCAGGCTCGGCAGGCCGCAGCGAGTGCCACGGCTCTGGCCGAGGCACTTCAACTGCCTGCCGTGGCTGCTGACGAGGAAGAGTCGACGCCGACATCACCGCTCGATGCGTCCTGCGACGATGTTCCCCAAGAAATCCGCGAATCCGCTGTCCCCGCTATCGCGTCTCCGACATCATTCGGTTCCTCCGCCGACTTGCCCCCGACGGAAACGACGTTTGTCGCGAAAGTAGAGCGCTCGCCGGTGGTAGAGGCCAAGATCGAGATCGAGACATCTCAAGATGTTGCGAAGATGGTAGGGAAGACGTTAGCTAGTAGCTGTGACGATAAAGAAGTCGAGATCGAATCAAAGGTAGAGAATGTGTTGGAGAGCCCTGTCACGATGACGAAGGAGGTATCGAAATGCCAAGAAAGTGAGGCAAATAGGGTAAAGGAAGCGTCGCCGTTACCAGAAGTGGAACGTGATACGAGGAAGCAGTTGATTGAACCGGTCGATAGTAAAACTATGCAGAACGAAGATGTGGTAGAAAGCAAAGCAGAATGTCCCTTTATTTCTAAAGAGATAGATCCGTTTATCGACAGCAGCGTGAGAAAAAGCGATTTTCTGGATCAGTGTCCGATAAATATCAGTAACGAGAAACTGCCAGAAGTTACGGTTTTTTCAACGGTAGAGGAAGTTTCCGATATTGTTGCTAAAGTTATGAATGAGCCTTTAGTCGTAGAGTGTCAAATAAAGAACGAGATAAATAGCTGCGAAGGTGATACGAAGATAAATGCACTACCTAGCACTGAGAGTAACAAAGTTAAGATTGGAACATTACCGTCGATTGAAATTGAATCAAAAGACTCATATCCGGCGGTAGAGCAACATTTATCATCTAAAAATCTTGAGATTGAAAAAATGGAGTGTCCAAGTGAAACAATGCAACACGTAGAATCAATTAAGAAATTATCGGACTCCGATCTTCTTTCGATTGACAAATGTGTGACTGTTGAGTCAAAGATATCATCGAAAGCCATTTCTACACCCTCGAAAATCGAAAATTCACTCAAAGAAGAACTGAAGCAATCTTCAGCAGACGCGGAAGTTGAAGAACATTTGTCCGAAAGACTGATCGAATATGAACACGATTATGCGAAATATGCGTCGGAGGAAGAAAGAATTGCATCGATAACTTCACCGACTGAATTATTCATAAATTCCGAAGAAGGTCCGCTATCAGTTTCGGGGGATATTGTAGTAGAAGCTAAGCCGGCGATGATCATTCCAGAAGATGATAGCGTGGAGGAATTCTCCGATACCACCGAGTCCATCAAGGTGATTCCTGATACTGACGAAGAAAAAATTGAGAACGAAGCAGAATCGGATACCGCATTACCCACGGAAGAGACATTGATCTCCGAAGAAGACATGTCCGTTCCGGAAGACGTCACAGGTGAACCGTTAAACGAAATTATTAGCACGTCTGATAATATTATTAAAAACGAAATAAAGATAACCGATGTAGAAGACACGCTACCAGCTCCACCTGAAAATTTGCAAGTCTCAACCAATTCGCAAATATGCGAATTTCAAGATATAGCAAATGAAACAGAACATATCGTTAACAGAGAAGATTCAATCGCGATATCTGCTTCAGGCATTGAGACAGAAACATTTGTAACATCTCCGTCGCAGATTGAACAAACCAAAGAAGTTGAAAAATGTCCTCTTTTACCAAAAGATTGTACGACATCATCTGAATTCTGCTCTTTACAAGACTCGGCACCGAAATATTCTCCGCAAATAGCGTTTTCAGATTCTCCCGTTTCAAAGAGGCACTCTCCGGCACGAGTTCTTTCACCCGGACCGGAAAGCGTGCCCATCTCGTTGGAAGATCTTCCCCCGGCGCCCGAAGACACGGGGATTCAAAGTTTAGATTCCTTTGATTATCCTTTACCACCGGAAGAGCTCTCTTGTCCGTTATCATTGATTGTCACTCCGAACGTGTCCACAGACGAGTTACCACCAGCTCCCGTCGAGCACGCGGCTAGTCCGAGAGATCCGACAGAGACGCTCCTCACACCGCCTATAAGTCCCAACTTCCAATCCAATGCCAATATCGCATCCGGCATCGCGACAGAAACCTCCACGAGAGATTGCTCACAAATTCCCTTGTATGACGACATCAGCAATCGCGAACAACCCGCGTCACTGAGTGAACCGATGATTTTGTACAATCAGTCGGACATTGAATTGAAGCAGAGGCTGGCGGCCGAGTGCCTAGCGAAGACCGAAAGCCAGGAAGGGGCCTTGTTGTCATGTGAATTGTCAAACACCGTCCCGTCAACTGCCTCCAAGGAGCATCACCAGGTGACTAACATGCAACACAATCTCCTGGCATGAATGCGGCCGGCCAAAATTCTTTGGTGGGTCCCTCGTTCCACATATATCTTCGTCGTACGATCCGCACCATTACTGTTTCTGTGGTCTTATCGCCTGAAAGAAACATCGGCTCTCCTCCGATTCCCAAATCTCCCCGGAATCCCTTCAATACCCGGAGTTTGATCATTGTTGATACATACTTTGAATCCCTAAAACTCTTTCATATCCAGCAAACTGCCAGTATCAAACAATCTCGCCTTTCCGCCCCGTTCTCTCGACGAAGGGTAACATTGAATGAGACTGACAGCGATGTCCGGGAGGTCTTGCACAATTCTCGAGTTTCGAGAACAAAATTATATTTTGCCAGTCGTTCGAGTATGTCGATGCACGACCTAGGAGGAGCCGGCGGATCCTCAAAGAGTCTGCAAAATACGTTTTCTGTCCCGATGCGTTCCCTGTTGTGTTCCAACGCCTGAGGGTCTCGTCTCGTGTGCATCCTTCGTTCTGTCGAACGTGATTAACAAGCCTTACTCTGCTGCTCGATATCCTCCGACGCTTCCGCCCAGCTCTCCCCCTCTCTACCCCATTTATTACCATCATTACCAGTTATCACCTGTGTTGTTTGCCTCTTGGTTTTCTTGACAGTATTAACATGACTTTTTTATACGATTAAAATTAATGCGCTGTAGTAGAATATTTTTTACGGCGCGGTGAATAGCGGATCAATCGCGCTATCGTGCCAATTAATGTAATTTCCGTAGAAGATTGTTATCCTTTTTTTTTCATGTCGAACGCTCTTATACTAATATAACATAGGCGCTCAAATATTAGAGGTACCTCTAGTGTGAATCTCACTGATAGACGTAAAAGCAGTTGGACTAATGACACGCGCGTGGTAGCTGACGTTTTAGATTTTAATAGATATGCTCATTAGAAGATCTCGATACTTACTGTCGTGCTGTTCTCGTAATTGCATCTGTTGTGTCGTATAAGCATCTTGTACTTGCGCATGCCGAGTTTTCTTATATCTAAGGGATTCGTCAGCGGGATTTTCAATTCTTTACGCTGCCCGAAGCATGACGAAACGATTCTGCCGAGACATTTTGTCGTTATGCGGTGCGTTTCAAGCGAGGAGGTAATTGCGATTGTTCGGTCATACTGTCCAGTAATGCAGGCCAAAGTCAGATATATTCTAATGCACTACTTGTATAGTTACTTAAAACTTTATATGCATTTTTTTATTATCTATATTATTATTATTAACCATTTATTTTTATATAAAAGAGTTCCGTTAATTTTATTCTATAAATTAAGTACATTATATATAAAAAATTTTATTTTAATCTCTATTTCTGAGTAATCTCAGGATAGTTTTTATCTTTTACTAAAGCCACAACATACGCATCTCATGATGATTCGATAGTCACTTATGTCCTGTGATTCACGAGAAGAAAAAAAGGTTTCGTTCAAGATTCTCTTCCCGAATGAGAACTGTTCGGCAGAATCGATCTTACGTCTTTTGTCCTTGTTACAGCATGCTGGGATTTGGATTTAAAAAAAGAGACAGATGGATAAAGAAAGATATAGAAAAAGCGTTAGCATAACGAACAGAATTATATTTTACAGAAAGCTCCGGAAGTCGAGGCGCCGGTAGAAAACAACATCGCCCACAATGACAGTACGACGGAAAGCGCTGATGAGGCTCCTAAAGTTGCACCACCGGCCATCCCGACCGAGGCACCCGCCTCCCCGCCAACAGCGCCGGCTATCACCGAGGACGTTGCCTCGGTCACCAAGGTAATATATATATTTATATGTATATTCCCAGTCTAGCCACAGTCTGAAGATTATAATCATGTATGCTACGTCCACGCTATTATTAGCTTGGAGTGAGTCATTGTCGATGATGCACGGATAACATCGATCGATCATTTCGAATATATGTACGTGAAGAGATTGTTTCTTAGCTCTTTATTGTTTGTTTCATCTTGTATAGAGAATTTGTTTATGCATATTATTACGAAATGCATTAATGAAAAAATTTAACGGGATATGGAAAAAACGTGAGAATAGTGTACCCTAAATTATGAATCGTATTTTGTAAAAAAGATAGAAGGAAGTAGAGATGGAACAATTTAAAATTTCTATCCTGAGAAAAATTCATACATCAATTTTTCAAAATTTTTAATTCTTATTGACAATTTCCATAATAAAAACGTAACAATATATCTTGATGGAATCTGTATGATTACTGGATGAAGACCTCTCAGCTCATCTAAACAATGACATAGTTATTAAAATTGATATAATTTACATGATGATCGCCAAGAGATCATTTATGCTCGACGAGCTTAAATGAGGCTGAAGGTCATTATCGAGTATATTGACCGACGAAGATTAACGAGCGAAGGGGCCATCTGATTATTAATACTGCGACTGCACCTTTTTAATGGTGACTAAGCAATCATTAACGCCATTAACGTTTTTTATTTTTTTTTCAAAGGCCATCGAGGAGATCGACATAAGCGATAAAGCGGTCGCGGCGGCAGTGAACGAAGCTATCGAATGCAACACGAATGTAAATGATTTTTTTATAAGATATTCTTGCGCGCGACATCAATCTGCACTCAAATAGTCGAACCACTCATTTCTTCTTTTTTTTTTTCCAGGAAATCATCGCTGATGCGCACCACCAAAACAACATAAACGAATAAGCGCCAATTAATCGAATTGTATTTTGGAAAGAAAAAAGTTCTTTTCTCTCGTTAAAACCAAAAAAGTATATTATATAGATATGTATATTTGGACCATTCCTACAACTAAACAGAAAATAACGTTCTTTCGTTACGAGCAGCAAAAGGGGAAAACGGGATGATGACGACGACGATGACGACGACGACCGCGATATCGTGAGAGCATATAGACTCTGTGGTAGGCCTATTATTAATTATTAAACGACGTTTGAGACGACAGGGCAAACGAGAATACGCGCGAAGGAATGAATCTACAATCGTATTATTTACAAATGGGCTTTATGAGGTCATATGTATATCGCGCGAATGTTCGTTTACGGGGGAGCAAATATAGATTGTTCATGCACGGTCTCTTTCACTGATTAAACGATTACTCGTTTCATTCTTTGTGGCGCGCAGATAGAGCAAAGTTGCGCACGTATCCTTCGGATTGTATGCAATCGTTACAACGATATCGGCCCTGTTATGTAGAAATTTTTAAAGTTTCATTAATTGTTACTGAAGTCTAATGCTCGAACATCGCGCGACGGACAAGCGATAGGAGCGATTAATTAAGATCGTCGAGATGATAGGGCGAGAATCATTCGTCGCGCATTCCAAGGGAAATACTCATTGGATGACGCCCTCCCGTAATTACATAACTATTATACTCTGATGAGAGCGAGAGAGTGTGAACGAGGAAGAGAGAACGAGAAAGAAAGAGAGAGAGAGAGAGAGTGAAAGAGAGAAAGTCAAAATATAGAGAAAGGAATCAAGGAAGGAGCAGGCTGTGCGTGATTGATAGCGATTGTGTGAAAGGGAAAAAGAACAAAAAAAAGCGCGTAAAACAAGAAGGATGAGGATGCATCTTTGCCACGGTGAGAACAGGAAAAGGACGAAAATATGCGAGAGGAAAACTAGAAATAGCGGAAGAAGATTATTGAGCGACACGCGATAAAGTTCGTACGAAAAAAAAAACCCGCGTCGACGACTTTGTTGAGGGCACCCGATATATTGTTTCGCTCGTATTTCCTTCGCGTTCCTTAATTTTCCTTTTTCCGTTTACATCTGTACAATCGAAACGTTTTTACGTTGTAACAAGGAACTTGCACATCTTCAACATGATTTTGATAGGCGCGTATCCTAAGGCGCTTGCGAGCACACGAGGAGACACGTTACACACGAACACGAAAATGACATTTATACCGCGTATACGTATATACGTACCATGCAACATACGAGATAAAGTATATACAGTAAGTCGAAATGAGATGTAAGTGATATATTAATCTAGACTATAGAGAATGCGTTTGTGTAAATTCGGCGTTTGTTCGAACATGCTAACTTCTCCATAGAGGAAGAGGGAGGGAAAGAAGCCTATCGTAATTTTTATGATAATCATTAAAATATCGCCTAATTACAATTTACATACGAGACATGCACAATTTACCACCCGGAAACGGTACCTTTTTCAAGTTTTCATACGATGTTTCTACGTTTCTACGTTTATACGGATCTCCAGAAGATAAAAAAATAATAATTATTATCTACGAAAAGCTTTTTTTATTAAGACTGTAGCGTAGATCTTAAAGTGTTATAAACGAGAAGCGCATTATACACGTGTGACACGCTCCGATATTTGGGAATATCGCCGAGTGAAAGGGTGGGACCGAGCGTTCACTCGTGTCCGTGATCGGCATTAATTTCTAAGCGGTTACATACATATTAACGTGTAAGGACGGGAAGGAAGTAAGATTAAAAGTTGTATAGTAAAACAATACATTCATTAAGTATATCTGTCCGCAATGATCTTTACAACGAAAAAATTATTCATCATCTTCTTGGAGCGGCGACGACACGTTTTGGCGACGAGAGCGAACTTTTTATCGAAATTCTTCGCGAGCGACCCGAGACTGATATCTGTGCACCCACATCATTCTCTAGTGATCGTCATCACTCTGAGGCGCCGTCGAGGCAAACCTCGCTCGTTTATTTATTTTGCGCCGGAGACTACAAAATTGTGAATGAGACCTTTGGATCGAAGCCGCCTCAGATGCGAAAGTACAGTCTCCCAGTATCTTCGATCAGCAGTTATAATAGTAACTAAACTATTCTACATTTATCTATAACCTATAATAAACTGTGAAACAAAGTGTATCAGCGGCGAGCATTTATTTCATCACAGAACCTCTATCCCACATGACTTATAACATTGATACATAGGAGTTTTTATAGATCATTATTTATTTATTTATAAAAAGAAAAATATCAAAATATATCACACTATTGCTTCTAAAGCATTTATCACTGTATCTAGTTCGTCCTTATCCAGCTCTAAATTTATGATTTGTTGAGATTCTGTATCTTCGACTATTAGGTCCAGCTGAAGAAGGAATTCCCGCAAAGAAGCCATCTTGCTCGAACCCATTATCAACTATCAAAAACATGTGATGAAGCAAATAAAGCCAAAAATAAAAATACAAGTAAAAAATGATTGTTGATATACCTTTAATCTCCAATCTAAATCGATTACAGTTGGTAGATTCCTTTTGTAATGTTTCCTCAATAAAGCATTTGTTAAATGTTCCCTGCGCACTTTTAAGCAAGTAAGAATGTTTTGTTGCACTTGCTCGGGTAATTCATGATATTCTTGCGGCATCTAAAACAATCATTTTTCCAATAAAATTTATTTCACAAAAATACAAAGGAGTTTAAATATGTCCTTTAAGTTATATCTCATATCAAGATTATAAAATTTGATTTGATTCTATTAATATCAATATTCGTATAAATGCAATTTTTTAACAATTTCATACCTTTTCTTCTACCATATAAAGAGAAGCAGGATTCCGTAACAATGATGATATTAGCTTATAAATTCCTTCGTATTCCGTTTTGTTCCAATCCATGCTATTAAAGAATTTATGATACGATGGTCCTGGACGACCACAAATTTCGTCGACGCATGCATGTAACAGCTTAATGTAAAGAAAATTATTATGTCATTTAAACGAAAACATGAATATATTATTTTGTTTTACTAACTTCTTTCAAGACATTGCTTTTGTCTTCATTAAAGAGGTTTATGTACAACGATTGAGTGCCTTCCATAATTGCTATTTTCTTCAAGATACACTTTGTTTATTATGATTGTTTTATCACTGAGTGTTAATGTAAAAACAGATTAGATTTTCCGGATATAAAACACATTTCGTAAAGCTTCTAATTACATACTGTTCGCGTTATTTCTTAACTATATCGCGATATAAAATTCTCTCATTCAAATAGAATCTTAAATATTAAAGATACATTTAAACAGTAACTGTAACAATGAGATTTTCAATCGCGATTGACAACTACAATAAACGAGGTTAGGAAAACGAATACAATCGCGTTTGACAGTTCATGCATTTGCGCCATCAGCTGATGTATCTTGAAAACTGAAGATGTATCCTCGGTTAAGATAATAGTAACTTTATCGACCGAGGATTAAAATTTGAGCACGTACTTTGGTATCATGCTCGCTGGATGGCGCCACCGATATCGAAAAACCATTAATTCTTTTTGCATTTTGCGCCGCCATTTGTAATTTCTCATAGTTCTTATGAACGTTGAAGCGCGAACGTGAGTCGCGAGTTTTTTCGTCAGATTTTCGTACAGAAACTTGATTCTTTGCATAAAAATCATAAATCTGATAGCGCAGATGAGAGAATAAGATACTTTTATACGTTTAGACTCGGGGATAATGTTATTTACATAAAGATCACCGATCGATTCGATTTCTCAAGACGAGGTGAGTGAAGCTTGCCGACAACGGACTCTTTATTTTCGAACTTGTAATAACGTTTTATGCAATTTGGTTTCAGATGCTGCTTGAATGATCCTGTACTGTGATGTACGCTGCTTGAATGATCCTGTGTTGTGATGTACGCGGTCTACATGTGTTGCTGGGTCGGTGAGTCGAGTATTTCTTCATCCATACTTTTCGCACCTTCGTTCATCTAGCACTTAAAGCCGCCATAATCAATAAAGAGGATCGCATACGACTTGTATATGTATTCGGGGTCTTTCTCTGTCTCTGTATCGTTATTAGATCTCAGATTTATGATAGTTATTAAGTGAGTTTGTTTAGGTATCTCGTTTAGATAAGCGAAGGTGTAATGTGCGACATAAATTTTTCCTTCGTGATCACGAACGGACAAGATCAATCTCGATGCAAAGAGAGAAGCACAAAATATATTTATTACGATATTTGATATGTACGCTTAACAGGTATGTACGTGCGAACGAATGTTTATATGCGTAAGGTATATAAAAGCATGGAAAGTTCAGGACGTGCGTAAACGTTTTGGTCGCGATTTCGATCTCGCGTTGAAAGATGATACGTCGAGATAAAGACGTACGCTTTAGTTCCGAATCCGGACGAATCGCGATCCTCCAGTAGCTTCGTCGAGAAATATGATACTTTCATTGTGAGTTCGTATCGCGCGTTCTATTCGCGATTTTCGTTAAAATGGAAAATTTATATTTAAGAAAGATTTATGGAGATAAAATAGTGATATTGTATAAGAATTTAATTTAATTTAAAAATCGAGAATATAAGAAAAATTAAATTAGAAAAGAATAAAAGTATGTTTTTTTCTTTAAGAATCAAATTAGAAGAGGGAGAATAAGAGATGCGCAAAATTGCATATAATCGATATATTTTTCATATTTTCAGATTATTATATTCACGTAGTAAAGAAGCGGCGGTAATTAACATTATAATGGCTATTTTTTCTCGCAAACAATCGCATAGTCCAAGCACGCATTTACGATTCAATGCACACAATCGACCTATTTTAATTCTTTGTGATTTTGCTATTTTTTTTTAATAACATAGAAAATACAAAGTTACAAATACACGCGGCTGCATCGCTTGCAGCGATTATAAGGGCCTTCCTCGTGTTACATCACCTGCGTAAAGACGCAAGAGAAGAGAGCACGCAGCTCTCCTCTCTCAGTATGGTTTTACATCCACTATTTAAATATTAAATTAACGAACATGCCGTTATACATTAATGCTCGATTAAATACAATAAAGATATTCTATTATGTAACATACAAAATATGTGGATACATTAATGATCTGTTTCAATTCTGCGTGAACGTCCATGTCTGTATTCGGACTTTGGTATTTTTACTCTTGATGTAATTATTTCCGTAAATACATTTCAGGCAAAGCATGATATATAGTCATGTTTAATGAAACGAATGAGAATGAAAGGGATTCAACAGTCCTCGCAAGATGTAACGAATGTGAAGTCTTCTCACGCAGAACGGAAACAGGATCTCAGACTAGGCTCGCGTCCGAGGTCTTCTCAGCGTAAACTATGATACTACGACACATCGTTTATCGCATAAAATTACCATTAACGTAAAAGACACGTATCGCATCCTCTTAGATCTACATAATTTTAGCGATGCGATTTCTCGAGTCCTCGCCGACGAGATTCCTGCTCAAAGAAGGCAGTTCTTTTTAATCATTTCTCTTCAAAAATTATATAACTAGAAGCACTTTTTATCATCACTGGTAATTTTGCAGTATAATCACTAATTTATACAATACGTTGTATTCTTCTAAAAATCGCTTGAGAGTTGTATAGAATGTTATTTTCCTATATCAATGACATATGTGCGTAAAATCTTGGATATTTATTTTTTATTTTTAACGCACATCGGTAAGCCGCCGCGAGATATCGTTATAAAATGATCCTCGTCACTCTCTTAAACATCGAAATATTTTACTATTCCCGTGACAACTACTGGTATTGAAAATTAACGATCACATTATTACTATCGTATTCTCGTTGACGAACGATAGAAAAGAAAAAGCGACGATGATATACGCGTACGGGCCCGGATAGCGATGTACATTTATACATAATGACAGGGATACACGTACACATATACATATATAATGAGTCTCTCTTTCTCTCTCTCTCTCTCTCTCTCTCTCTCTCTTTTTCTTTCTGATGAAGACACACTTAAAAAAAAAAAAAACAAGAAAATGGCACCATCAATTTCTCGTGCGCTTCATCGCGCTATCTTTCTCTTCATTGGCACGACACGAATTGTATTTTATGCAACCGTTATCCTTCCTTCTTTTGCTATCCGTATATATTAATCGCGATTCCTCTAGCTTCTGAATCGGTGATTTAGATTCGTACGGTATGCGCTACCTGCCATTGCGTTGAAGGTGTCCCTTTTTCCTGGACATTTGCCTGGCCGTTTCATGTATTCGCCGAATTCGCAATTAGGCATGGCACATTCATTGCTCTGAATGCATCTGCGATCAAAGATGAATTATATCATATATTAATCATAGTCAAAATAAAATTTTTGATTTGTTTTTCTAATTGTTTTAATCTATAAATGTTAAAATAATTTTGTGTAATATTGTGAATTTCTAGCCTGCTAAAGAAGCAGTCGATCAATTTTTATCGGGCAAAACCTTTTGGAGAACAAGATTACTAGATCAAATATTTTACATTACATTTGCATATAAATGTTAGAGTGCAGTTAAGTTGGATTCAGGCAAAGTTACGGTGAAACTTTACCGTACGTGTATACAAACGGAGTTTGCTATTTTGTTTTTTAAATTCCGGTAATTAAACTCGTGCATTGGAATACTTTGCGGTAAAGTGTGTCGCGAAATTGCTGTTTCAAAGACTATCTAAACATACTTACATTCTGTCCGCGAGGGAGAAGTATCCCTTTCCGCGTCTGGTCTTTATACAATTCTGATTGCTGTCGTAGCAATTACATTGACAAGCGCCTTCCAGCGTGATCCTCGGCGTGAATTCCGACGGGCATCGGCATCTGTAAATTTTTTTTTATCGCACAGCACCGATATTATGAGGTAGTGAAGAATTTTTCCTTTTCCGAATCATTTTATTCATGCAAAGCGTCGCGTAGATTTACGTAAATAAGAAAAAATTGAATATTTTAATTTTCAGAGAGTTTTACTGAGAGTCGCGAACTGTTAAAAATATATACTTTAACGGACTTACGGTTTTCTCGATGGCGGTTTCTTCATGTTTTGTGGGGGCGACGAGGAGTGCCGATACACTCTCTGGTCTGCAAATTTCTCGTTTGTCGTGTCGTATTTGGACCTCTCCCTGCATTCGCATTCTGTGTGATTGTAGAACGATAGCTTCTCCACTACAGTGCCGCCGGCCACGTTCGCGGTCTACAATAAAATCAGAAATAAACATTACCACGGGACGCACGCTTTCATAAACGCGCGCGATATGTGCATAATCAACGTCGTAAACGATACATTATGTTCCGAGAGAGTCTGAAGTGCGCTTGAAGCTCTCTCTCTTCCTCTCGTTGATGGGATTTTTTATATTTCGTTATTTCGTTATTTATGCACTAATATTTATTCGCACGCCACATTGCGGAAACGTTTACACGGAAGTTTCGCCGATAAGTAAATATCGCCGTGTAAAGTTAGGACTACTCGCGATATGCAGAAGTAACTTTGTAAATAATAGTACACGGTGTACAAGAAGCCAGGCAGCCTTATCCGTTCGTTATTTATAACTACAAGGTATTGTGGAACTATCTTCTTTCACACAGATTCTTTAAGAGATCGAGATCTATTCTTTTCTTTAAAAAAAAAAAAAAAAACAGTGATATTGCACGACGCTTTATGCAAATAATTTTCTCGCATATTTTTCATTATTATCGTATCGATTAACCGGATTGCTATTCTCTTACCGATCGTATTGCAAAAGTGAACCTTTGGACATAACAGTCGAGCATTCTTATCGTAGTATTGGCGACGTCGTGATCTCGTGCTAACGAGAGCAACAAGACCTGAGGCTGCATAACATTACGGCAATAGTTAAAAAAAAAACTAGACGATCAGCTCGTACATCCGACCCGGTTCTAATTGGGTTCAATTAACCTGACTCACACTTTGTGAGAGTCTGCTGTACAACAAACTAGGCGTTTACCGACTGACACGGATGCTGCTGGAGCGCGGGAGTTATCCGTATCGTCGGGCCGCATTTAGCCCGCCTTTAATCGGCTCTAATTGCTCTGAGTCACTACTCGTACCCGATTTCTGCTCGTGTCTGGCGCATTCCGATCGGTCGTTGTCTTAATAATTAACGTGCAATTAATGTCCGATATAAATAGACGCGCAATTATTCGATACATTATTTCATCGCTTAGCAAGTAATCTCGAGATATAAATGATAGATCGGATAAAGAATAATTAATTTCAGATTTCCGTCAAAGAGATTCTTGTCTGCTTATGTCTGAAATATCACGCGCATTCTATTTACATATTTCATATTTTCTTGCCGTTTATTACAATGTAAAACGACAAAGGTTCGCGTGAGCGGGTGAAAAATAAAAGTTTCATGGTTAATTGAAAGTTGGAAAATCACCGGCGAGAGAAATTCTAAGGCGGTGACACGCGTCGAATCGTAAGCGACCACATCTTGCGCTCGTAATTATACTGTTCTCGTAATTGGCAACTGGCTGATGTTCATTGTGCGCGATAGAAAGCTCGTTGTACGTGACTCACGGATTATCCCCGCGAAGCAAAGATTCACGGCGTGTATTATTACAGGCGTGTTTTAAAATCAACGGGCACGTTAGCTGTAACGGCGAAATTTCGTAACGGCAGAACACGGAAGCAAAAGAGAAATGCACTAAAAGTTCAACTCTTGCGAATTAACGTTTGCATTAACGACTGAAAGAAAAAATCGCAAAGGCGTAAAAAGAAAAAGGAGTATAAGAAATTTATTTCATATCTTAGAAGTACCTTGTCATATATGTAAATAGTTATCTTTGAATTTCTAATCCGTATAATACAAGTATTTCGAACTTCTGCGAATTTCTTACGCGCGTGGCATTTAACAAATATCTATTTTATTACGTGAAATCTATGAGTCGTGCATTCTCTTAGCATGGTTGAAACGCGAAAGTAACTCGTGTTAAATGGGTCGAGTACTCGATCACCAAGATCGATGATAATGAACGACACGCTACGGTACGGTGTGTCCGGTCGACAGTGTGTAGGCGATCAACCGCGGTTAAGATTTTATTTCGCGGATTGTCGCGGTCGCAAAGTGCGGTGATCACGACGTCGCTCAATTAATGCCATTTCGCCACACGGGGCAACAGTACGAAGATACGATTGCAACAGTCACACATTTCTCGCGACGTTATTAAAATTACCCAAGGGGCAGGATTGCGATAGTCACTGTTCGTGATGGCTTTAAAAGCGACCGGAAAACCACGCGATATATAATTCTACTCGTCGCGATATTGATATTTTTTCCGTATATCAAAGTCTCCCGAAAAAATTTCTCTAACGAAAAAAATCAAATTAACTGGGTTTAGGAGTAGTTATTTTCTATCAAGGTTTATTTAAATGCATCGTAAGACTTTATTAAACTGAGGATACGAATCTTTATACGCGACAAATTGCGTGGAAGAATTGCGTGAGATTTCTTTTTCCCATGATAAAGTACACGGATCTTGTTGGCTCTTTGTAATACGAGTTGCATTCACGGGGCATTCTCCTTCTTTCTCCGAGCTCTGTCAGGTCGGTACACGAGGATTGAGATTCGCGATCGTCTCTGACGAATAACCAAGCCGAGAGATCATGGTCATAAATTTTATGCCGCAGTGCTGTACGTAGGACGTCCTGTGGTGAACGTGTTCAGAATTGTGCTTAATATCACTTTTACTATTTACTATTTCAATTGCATTACAAATATTCGAGATTACCTTATCACTGGTTATTTTAATTGATGCAGGCTCGTTTCGCGATTACCCGATTGATTAATTCTCGTACTCGATTCGTATCCTATTACTATGTATTTTTTTTTTAAATTTTCTCAATCTTTTTTTAAAATTATATATGAGCAAATATCACGTATTTTAGTAATTGTAATATTATTACAAAAAAAAAAAAAGAGATTATTTAATTAAGATTAGAGAAGATTTTTTAAAAAGATGGTAATTATAGCCGTATTATCCAGTTATATGTTTCTTGATCGACATGTCTAGTTACGAGTTTCGTGAATTTCTTCGCGTGCTATCAGCATTGATATACGGACGAGGATAATGCACCTCCTAAGGGATGCATCAGTGGTAGCGTGGCACGAAGTTCCGTCGGTCTCATGTTTCAAGATTTTTGTCGGAAAGCGACATGGAACAGCATAGGTATATTTATAGGGTGCAGCTAGGCGCTTACGACTCCACGCCCATAAAGTCAGTATTATAAAGTCAGTTTGGAATTGTCGCCGACGGCGATTGTATATATATGTGCAAGTTTTACAGTATGAAGTAGTATTCTAGCATTTCTCATGTTCGTTAAATTTTATAAATGATACGGCGTTAACTCGAGACGATCAATCGCGACATTGACTGAAAATTACACGATATATCGACAACATTATATTTATTATCAATCTTGAATAATAACGCAATTTTGAGCAGCGCTTTGCTGAAATGTCCCAATTTGCATCTCCCGATACCGTAATTTTTCGATACACGGTTACGATGATCGCGGTGCGTAATTGTAATATCAGACGTAGGAAGTAAAGAACGTTACGAGAGGCGCATGTGATTTCCATAATGCCGTGATGGGTGATTTGCGAGAGTTTCTTCGTCGAAGGCTTGCCATGAGTCCGTCCCGTAGACCATGGCGAATTCCGGAATTTAATTTCCGCGAGGATTATCCCTCTCGCGGGATCGGAGCAGCTGACTGGTTGCCTCATTAACATTCGCCGTATCTCGCTCCGGGCGCTCGTTCGTGAATGAAACACAGGAACCCGGCACGAAACCGGGCGCACGCCTCTCTGGAAAGAGATCGGTGAACCGTGTCCGGGGTGATCAGTTTCTCGGATGAATATCCCGTGTTTATCTTGACAATATTACGCTACGTTATATCGAATTTGCGCCGCGACGACTTTATAAGCGACGTCGAATTTTTCGTGAATTTATTTTATTAATTAAGAGAAATAGTCCCGAGTTAATCTTTCAAAGTTTTATTTATTTCGTAGATTATACGTATTACATTATATTATATATTTATTTTTTATTATAATTTTATTGTATAATTTGACTTTTTATATCCTTTTATTTTATTTATTTTAGACCATTTTAGAATCTAAATCACTCTTATGATTTATTTGATAAAGATCGGCGAATAAGATTTTTTATTTTAGTCTTTTTTTATTAATTCCCATCGATTAAAATCTCGTGAACACACACACATGCACAAATATTAGGATACCGGAGGATGCATCCATAGATATAATTTTCTTAGACCTTTTTCAACTTTGCTTTAAAATACGAGAGAGCAAAATAAACCGTGAATCATCGTTTATGCTATTTTCCGTGACATTTTATAGCGGACGGTATTTTTCATGACTGATATCAAAGATATTATTTTACATATTGTAAATGTTTATAATCTTATCAAAAAGAGAATATTAGCGCGAATCCCGTTAATACTATTTGCTAATCGCTTGAAGAACGTTGTCATTGTAATAAAAGTGTCTATCGAACAGACAGCGGCAACAGACGCCACATGTCGCATGACCATCTCTTATACAAAGTTATCAGGTATCTCGAGTGTCGCGAAGGATTGTTGTATCGTAAAGGGTTCAGACTAAACAATATTGATGAATAAGATTCTTGCTCCAGCGTGAGCCTTGATACCCTTCGATAAACAATATAAGACGGAAATATTAGTGTGTGTACAAGAATTTTTATACATTTATAAATAATGTTTTTAGAGAGTCAGCATCTTACGACGATGATTTCTGGGTACTCGCTTTCGGTTCAAGTTTAATGTACGGTGAGGTGCAATTAACGGACCATGTGTTGCAGCAAGCGGTATCGAAATGCGTCAGACAGATAAAGCCCTTCCGGTCTCTCCGAAACGTAACGAATCCTCGATTAATCGACTCGTTCGGTTAGGCAAACCGACGCGGCCTCCCGGCAACGATAATTAATTCCTGGCGTCCGACGGTAATTAAGGGAAGGACCGCTTCGTCATCGCACCCACACGGTCGGCATCGCGGCAGAAAGGTGCGGGTGCGCGGGATTACAATGTGGCTTTTGTGTGCTCGCGCTTGTGTAATTAACATACAATATTCTTGGAGCAGGGAGGTCCGTTTCTCAGAGAGAGGGAGAGAGAGAGAGAAAGGGAGAGGA